GGTGGAAGTCTAGGAGCTATTTCAAAATATCGCCAGTCATGAGAAGATCCGGTCAAATGACACGAGTTTAGATCTATGAACAATGGCACGAAAAGGAAAAGAATCGGCGACAGGCCACATCTGACTTCAGCGCCGACATCACTATGTTATGTTATTGCTTTATTTTAACGAAATCATCTTTTCAAAAATATAATGAAAGTGTAACTCTTTTGTATAAATTATCATCTCATTCGCTGATTTCTGGAATAATATTTTATTTTGTGTGAATTCAAATCAAATAGGTTAAATACCGTGTCATAATTCATCCCTATAAGTATAACCTAAGTAAAAGTAAACGAATTATTTATAGCTGATGCACCAATCACCATGGCTGGGAGCTCCAAAATTTTCACAAAACGCTTCAGTTCATGCTAAAAAGTTATTCTCTACTACTTTTTTAGAAAATGAATTTTAAGGATAACTTCTTCAACCATTTCACAGGTATAGTAGCCTGTAGGTTACTGAAAATCTCATAGAACTCAGTTTTCAATTATAATAAATTGTTTATGTTGATATTAATATAGCAATTTTCTTTATTGTACTTATTTCCGAACTTTTATTTATTGTTTAAGATTTTGTAAATGAGATATTTGTAATTAAGATATATAATTAGCATAACAATATTCATAACATCTAGGAAAAAAACGATATAAAAAATTTGTTAATTAATTGGTCATTTGTATTCTAGAATTACATTTATTTTCACTGCATTTGTAGAAGTTATTATACCTGGCTTTCATAAATTTTTATTTAGAGCATAATTAATTTGAAAACTTTCAAAATACGAGTATTTTCTGGATATGTATCTGAATGTGTAAAATAATAAATAATTGCTTGTAAGATAAAGTGCCACATATTATGTACCCATAACTTGCTCACTCTGGCTACCAATGCCAAATTACTGACCTTCACCGCATCTACATTCATACATCTTGTAATTTTAAAGAAGTGCCATATAAATTTCGTAACATACACGCTCAAATTCAGGTTGTAACCTGACCTCAATGGCCGTTGATATTGAAGTTCAATGCCTTGTACGGGGCTGACTTACTCGCTTCTATCTGTGGGCATGCCTAACATGCCTCGGCCTCGGGGCATGCCTTACATGCCTCTACCTCGGGGCATGCCTTACATGCCTTTGCCTCTGGGCATGCCTAGCATGCCTCTGCCTCGGGGCATGCCTTACATGCCTTTGCCTCTGGGCATGCCTAGCATGCCTCTGCCTCGGGGCATGCCTTACATGCCTCTACCTCGGGGCATGCCTTACATGCCTCTACCTCGGGGCATGCCTTACATGCCTCTACCTCGGGGCATGCTTTTCATGCCTCTACCTCCTTCATAAACCTCTTGTATAGAAGCTTCATGTAAATGAGCCGCACGATCGAGTATCGCCTTTTATTTACATTTACATATATTTTTCTGTATTTATGATGGCAATCAGCTTGTTTATATGGATGATAAAGTAGTAGCTAATATCCGAGGCGTTTATGAGAGTATTTAAATTTATGGATAGCAATTAGTTTGCAGCAGATGAACAGCGGTGATCCTATCATGTTAAAATGATTACGTATTGGAATGGAACATACAAATATTTAGTCAATCTATTGCAAATGTATTATGTGGAAATATATTACTTAAGTGTAAATAAATACTGAATTTATTGTGACTCAGGTGTGCTTAATGAATCTAAATGCGAGGCAACTGGAAAAACAAAATGTAACAAATTCCAACTCTTTGCATTTAATTTCGTTATTTAGTGGTAGATAGACCTTCAACCTCCGATCAACGTCCAACATATATACGATCAACGTTCGATTTGCGATCAAAGTTCAACCTACGATAAACGTTTGACTTACGATCAATGTTCAACCTACGACAAACGTTTGACTTACGATCAATGTTCAACCTACGATAAACGTTTGACTTACGATCAACGTACATCCTTCAATAAACGTTTGACTTACGATCAGCATTCAACCTACGCAATGCGTTCAACCTAAGATGTACGTTCAACCTACGAAGTTTCATTCGACTTTCGATCAGCGTTCCCGTGACGGTAATCCTCAAAATTGCAGCAAACGTCTATGTTACGATCATCGTTGCTTATGATTGATTGATTCACAAGAAAAAATTTTTTGTGCAAATGAGGAAATCCTACTCTCGGCATTTTCCTGCGTTGTATAACATTATATCATTATCATTATAATGGTCCTATGATGGGAGTTGCTTCTTTGATGTTAGTTGCTGTTCTCTGATGATAGTTTTAGTTCTCCGGTCATAGTTATAGTTCTCAGATAATAGTAAGTTCTCTAATGATAGTAAGCTCTCAGACGATAGTAAGTTCTCAGATGATAGTAAGTTCTCAGACGATAGTAAGTTCTCAGATGATAGTAAGTTCTCAGAAGATTTATGATCGTAAGAAACTGATATTGGATTTATGATCGTAAGAAACTGATATTGGATTTATGATCGTAAGAAACTGAGAATTAATCGGGGAGTTGTAGAGAACAAGCGTTGGGTGTTAATATCTTTGCGCATTGCGGATGCTGAGCGAGCGGAATTTAATTTTTAGGCAGCTCATGGTATTCATCAATTGAATATTAAGACGTATATTAGGCATTGTCGTAAATTATATGCCCCTTTCAACAATTGACGGTTTATATAATATTATTACTAATTTATTTTAATTTCTTCAACATATATAAACATATATAAGTTGGCCCACCAAATTGTTTTACTTTAATCACATCTTTAAATCATGATAAAATATCTTTTTTTTAATGTTCTAGTTTTTCTAAAGCCGACGTATAATTCCTGTTAATTCCAACGCGTTATAAATCCGTTATCAACACATTGGCCTAGGATCGATCTGAAAAGTTGAGAGCTACCATTTTTATAGTAAAATTATTTATAATTAAATGCCTAAAACCCTTGAAACTTTTAAATGAATAAAAATGATTAAATTTTTATAAATAAATAAAGTTTTGGGCATATGAGGTTAAGAGGAGTTACTTTACGCCACAGGAGGGATATTCGGTCGCAGTATATATGCTGAGCTTCGCTGGGCGAGTTTATTACAATCCAGCACAATTTTACATGGGCTGATGTGATATTTTATTGACAAACCATTTTATGTTATAAATCACATAGCGAAAATTATAATAAATCACACATAATTCTGTGCTTAGCATCTACTTTATATACTCTTAATAGTTGAATTTGTCTGCTCACAACTGCTCATCGCTTAAGATATTTATTCACTCCGCACTTTAAAAGAAAGCAAATGTCATCAGTTGCCCTTGGAGATGAGGCGACGTTCATTTTTTCTCTATTCATATAAACGCGCCTGAATTAGAGCTGGGGCTTCGTGCAGATGTTCTCACAGATGCGTAATTCACACCGGACGCTTCGTACACTTTTAAGAATAATAACTAAGCTTTGTTAATTGTTCATTCTTTGATGCAGACGCTACCCAAAAAAAGACCAGAGTATCATACTTATTTTGTTGTGCAAGTGCTTGCATGAAAGTGCAAGTCACTCGAGATGTTTGCACGCATTTTTGTGCATGTGGTGGTCACAACGATGTACCGAACGACCGCAGCGCTCTCATCTGCTGCGAGAGAAAATAAAAAAGTAACTAATTAAAGACCGGAATGTACAATGCGGATGTAATCTGTGCTTTACCACAGTTTCGGTATGGGTATAGTAGCTCTTATTAATTACTACGTTTCACGGTTTTCAAATATCGAAATGAAATAATCGAACATAGAATCGAAATTAATTTTGTGCCTCTGCCGCAGGTGTCGCTCGTACGATTGACGCCGTCCCGTGGGGGATGGTCAATGAATTTGTCATTACTTAATACGAAAGAATTACTAATTCTTGAAATAATTACAAATTTATTTCACAATCAATAATTTCACTGATGCAGCTGCCATATGCTGAAGGATATAAAACTAAAAAATCTCTTTTTCGTTCGTCAGTGCTAAAATTATACCAAAATTGCCACTGTAACGAGAAGACTATACGATAGAGTATATTTCAATTTCATCTTGCGTTACAGCGTAAGAGATAATAAATAATATTTGCGTCTTTTGTGATCCTCACATATGATTTTCGAGGAAAAATATGACCAATCGAGGTTTTATTCACACAATATTTTTTAATTTTAATCATCATAAGTTGACAAATATGATTGATAGTAGATAATGATAACATTATGCTTGATTCTACGCATTTCCCTGAGACGATATAAATCAATCACAAAATTAACTAGAAGAAACATTCGAAAGTTTTCGCTTAAACTTTACCATTCATGCGTTGCCATTCAAACATTGTTATTAAAATGTTACAATGCAAACGTTGCCTTTCATATACTTCCTCTTTCCAACGTTGCCATGCAAACGTTGCAGTCCAATTAACGTGGATATTTGAACTTTGTCATTCAAACGCTGCCTTTAATATTGATATTCATATGTTATCATATATACGTTGTCATTCAAACGCTGCCGGTAATATTGATATTCATATGTTATCATATATACGTTGTCATTCACACGCTAAAGTTACCCAAAAGCTGTCATACAAATTAACTAAATATTTAAAGCTGTTCGTTCAGAGAGGTATGCGGAATAAATGACTAATTTTAATATCCTATTTAAAGAAAGTTCTAGGATGAAATACTTATATCTAACATTATTTGATGAAATTCATTTATTTTGGCTTGATAATATTCCATCAACTGAAACATATCTGAGGAATTGGAATCCATATATTGCGTAAATATTCCGTTATTGCGATTTGTATTGCACATTTAACACTACAACATAAGTAAAGTTTGTCATTAATCAATTAAAGTATCTTACATAAGTCGTAGAAACTAGTTATAAAACATTCCAAATTGGTTTATTTAAGTTTGTACGCAACTAATTTTAAAACAATGTAAGTGAAATTTTGAAGGCAATATTTAGACAAGTTGTAAAAATAACTTAAGTAACTATTTAAGTCTGTAGAAACTAGTTATTAAAACAACGTTTGTTACTATTTAAAATCTGTTAAAACTGTTTATTAAACTACGCAAGTGACTTATGAAAGTTTGTAAAAAAACAGTTGTAAAACAACGTAACTAAAGCACTTATCTTTGTAGAAGTTATTGTTATAGAACAGCTGAAGTCATTTATTTAAGAATGCAGAAACCAGTTAGTTCTAACAAAAGCCTTTTTAAAGTTTGCTCATACTGAGAATACATCTTTATATATACGCTTAGGATTAGCGCTGAAATTAGTGGCTTTGTATTTTAATATAGCAAGAATATCGAAGCATTATACGATAGTATAATTGCAGGTGACAAAAGTTAACCACTCATGTTTCGAGTTTTGTTAGTTTTCTTGGTCGTAACAATGGATCAAACTCCTGACTTTCAAAAAAGCATGAAACCGATAATAATATAATGCTTACAGCAAGTTGTTTTCAAAATAATGCGGAAGGTGAGCAATATAGCTGTTGAACGTCACTATTAATAAATAAGAACTCTATTGAGCTCGGCGTCAACAACTAAAATGTTTCCCGCTGGTGTCACCGCCACGCCGGCAGGCTGAGCCTGCCTGGATGGTTCAGGAGAGGGGACAGGCCAATGGTTCACATAGTTGGCATCAGCATCAAATATCTGAATCCTACAGTTGCGCGAATCACAAACGATCACATTTCCTTCCTGGTCACAAGTGATCCCTTGAGGTCGATTTAATTCGTTTGGGTTACTTCCTTTCCGGCCAATCAAAGAAGGATGGTTGGAGAGAGACGTATCAGCTCCTGAATTGCCAGGTGTCAAGTCCAATACAATGATTTGGTGTTTAGTCATGTCAGTTGTAATTATTTTGTCATCTTGGCTACGATAACAAATGCCTCTTGGGTTTCTGAGAATTTGACTGTCAGCGCCAATATCCCTTAGAAAAATGCCGTCCCCCGAAAATATCGCTACTCGCCCCTTGCGGCTGTCGGTCACCAAGATGCTGCCTTGGGGCTCAGTTGCGACGTCCCACGGGTAATTCAACTGGTGACAGTTGTGGCCTTGTTCCCCAAATGCCAGTAAAACCTGTCCTTGAATATCAAAGACTTGTATTCTATGATTATCTTTGTCAGCGACGACTACATGGTCTTGATCATCGCACGTAATTCCGGCGGGCTTATTCAGTTCTCCGGGCATCGTTCCGTGTGAGCCGATACAATGACTGTACACGTAGTTAGGTTTGAAAACTCTGATGGTGTGATTTCCCCTGTCACTTATGAACACGACGCCTGCTGTATCGCAGCACACACCCCATGGTTCAGAAAATGTGAAAGTTTTCATTAAATCTCCTTCGATGACGGCTTTCACATAGGACACAGCTTGATATTTGTGCTGAGCATCCACCATAATGGTACATGGAGAACCGGAGACATGAGTTCCATTGAGGGTAATAGATGCTTTATAAACTCCAACAAAGTCTGGTTTGTAACGAACTACGTAAGCTACACTTGAGACTTGTTTTATTTTCAACGCACATGGATGATTATTTGGATCAATTAAAACCACTTTCAAGGCTTGTGGTGATTCAGCAGCATCTGAAAACAAAACTTGAAAAGACGAGGTTTTTCCTCGAACGGCTGAACAGATGCCAGGCCCGCTTACTACAGCATTGGAAAGTGACCCATTCAATGTGCCACTACCGTTTCTTCCTTTCATAACATTTTGTCTCTGAGCAATCATAGAGGCTAAGGCGAAACACTTGTTCTGCATTTCGTGCGATTCAAAATCAAGATGAGATGTAGCTTCCTGCAGCCACAATTCGTGGTTTGGCTTGCTAGGCGTTGATGTAAACATGTCAGGATAAGTTGAGCCTGAGTCATGTCTTGAATTACCTTGAGTAGAAATATCTCCAAGCTGCAAATATTCTTTGGAAGATGTGAGCATATCAAACGCCCTCTGCCTCGACCCATGTTTCCGGCCGTTCCCATGTTGTCTGAGGTCGTCATCCATGTGGCTATCGAAGAGAAAGTCTCCGTTAGTTGGATAGCCTTCGGACTGAAATTCGACGCCCAAATGAGATGGATCATACGAGGAGTTAACGAGGGAAAATTGCGATCTTTCATCCAGTGGAGGACTATCATTTTCTCCTGGCATCGAGTAACTTGAGGATGAAGATCCTATTGAAAAACTTGCGTAGTGACTTCCCATGGTTTCGTTGGGGTCCCGTGATGCCCCAATATGGCTCCATTGCACTGCGTCGGATTTGTAGTCTCCATAAGATGAACCTAACCTCAGCGATGCCGACGAACTGCCACTGCCTGACTTAGAAGCGGCACCTGAAGACGATGGTAGGTCACTGTATCCTGATAAATAACCCGAGGAAGAATCGCCCACAGCTCCAAGCGTGAACTGAGCTTGGAAGTCATCAACAGGTAGGGCTAAGGACGATGTGTTAGAAACGTTGAATGTAGCCAACTGGGAGGCCAGTTTGTAGACATCTTCGTCTTTGTAAGATGAACGCACGTCAGGAGGACCGTTCATCATGTCCGTCTGTTCAAAAGGGAAATATGGTGATTATTACACGTAAATTACATTTCATTTATATTAATATTAAAAAGAAAGTATTACCATTCTGTTAACATTCTTGAAACTTAGGTAAAAAATTTCGCACTAAATGAGTTGTGAATTAAATTGAGCCTCAAATAAAAAACTTGAGGTCAATTGTGACAAATTATCATATAAAATATCTATACTGATTTTTAGTAAAAAATTTTTATACGGTTTGTAAAATCAATACACTGATTCAAAAGAAATCAGTATAAGGCAGGGACCCTGGAAAGAATGACGCTAAAGAAAAGTTACAGCCCTGAGAGTTTATTTCTAAATATATATATATTTATATATTATTTGCTTATAGAATCTGTTTAAAGAACCACAGCAAAACGGTCAAAAATGCGCAAATAAAGCTAACAAAAGACAGAAATATTCAATCAAACTTTAAATTTGAAAACAATGCGCAAGAAGAGATCAAAAACTTAAAGGGCTGTAATTTCAGCGGCTGGAAATTGTCGAACCTCTAGCACGAAGTTATTGGCATGTAATTAAATAAATATGAACACATGAATATGTATGATTTCATATGAATGTGCATGATTTCATATGAATGTTAATGATCTCAAATCAATGTGAATGATCTCATATCAATGTGAATGATCTCATATCAATGTGAATGATCTCATATCAATGTGAATGATCTCATATCAATGTGAATGATCTCATATCAATGTGAATGATCTCATATCCTGTCTCTTATACACATCTAGATGTGTATAAGAGACAGGATCTCATATCAATGTGAATGATCTCATATCAATGTGAATGATCTCATATCAATGTGAATGATCTCATATCAATGTGAATGATCTCATATCAATGTGAATGATCTCATATCAATGTGAATTATCTCATATCAATGTGAATTATCTCATACGACTGACGATGATTTCATATCAATGTGAATGATCTCATATCAATGTGAATGGTATCATATGAATGCGTTGGTCTCAACTGAATGTGCTTGATCTCGCCCTTACTATATATTCCGAACATGATACACGAATAAGATAACACAATTAATTAAACGAAATATGAACCCAATGCAATTAACGAAAAATAACAATTGTATACCACGGTAAATATTTCACTGCATTGAAGCGAACAGGCGAATCCTTATTTCTGCCCATTAAATCTGTAATTTATTTGTTTTTATGTCGTCTACTCACTTTTCAGAGCGAAAGTGAAGGTTTTATCCTGCGGTCTCTAGATGATTCCGGCTAAATATGTTGCCGTAACTATTTTTCTAAATAAGAAATTTGCATAGGTTACTTGATAAACTAAAGTAGCAACCGGGTTCCCAACAACGATCCCACAACTGTTGTGGTGCCGGCCAAACTCAGAAGGATTTCGTTAAAGCTTTTCCTCGTTCGTGACAGATTCACGTCTGCTTCATGCTTCTGACCGACTCATGATAGGCAGGAGCGACGATTACACTTTTCATACATCGTTTTTTTCTTAATTACGCACTTATTTATTATGAATTCATTTATTTCTCTAGAAAATCTTACAAACTGTTACGGAAAATTTTTTTACACTGTAGCGATTCAGAGCTGCAAGCGATATCAAATGTACTCAGAGGAGCGTGAGGAAGAACGTACAACTTAAGCAACGCCCGTCAACCTACTAATGAAACCAAATCCAACCTCAGCCTTATATAGCTGCTCTCGTCAGCTACACTTTTTATCTTCAAATAGAACATAAAAAACACAGCTTTATATACTCATCACTACCAGCCTGTATTAAATCGTTCGAACGATCTATCATTTTCAGCGGATTTTTTTGTGCAACGGCACCATATCGACGGTCGATGTCAGCGTTCATGTAGAATGAAATATTGAATGATGACATCGCGCACCCACTGATCGACGCAGATCAACCCGAGGCAATTTCAACGCCTGCTGAATAATGACCGTAAAAAGTTTTCACTCGTGAAAACTTTTTTTGCTTTGTGCTACGGAACTTGAACTGGAATCATTTGGCCGCTCAGGGCAAAATCCTGTGGAAAATTGATGGATATTTTGAGTTTTTGCGTATTATCCTTCTAATGGAGTTTTTTATCTTAAATTCTATATTTTTCAGTATCAGTTCATTTCATGGTATTACGTTGATAACCTTCTTAACTCTTGCCTCCGATTATTATATATTTTCACCATATTTCGTTTCCGCAAAAAGTGATCGTAACCCATTCTTCTTCATCTTCATCCATTTCTCATTACACCATTTATACTTCCTTCACTTCCTCTCTCTCAGTCCGTTGTGGCAGCCCTTTTTTCCTCTTCTAACCCTTTTTCTCCCCATGTACGAGAATAAAGTTGCATGGAATGTACAATTGTCCAATTTTCATTCGCCGTCAAACATATTTTGAACATGATAGTCCAAAAAATTGTATTGCCTTTTATTATACTTTTGACAGAGGAAATTGAATCGAACTTTGAAATCTTCACTCGATTTTTTTACTCCATTCAGTATTTAATTTCAATATCAGTACGTATTAAACGCACTTAGCATACGCATTACGCCCTTTTATCTACGCATTCTGCCATACGCATGACACGATTAACAGGCATCAGTAAAAGTAAGTATCACTGACCGGTATCATATCAGCTAGTGTACTCGGTATCTCAGTGTGAAAGCTGTGCCATAGATCAGCATAGGGTCAGCTATAGTAACACATACGAACATTTTGTGTGTCAGGAAACTGGAGATACGTTCATTCATGTGTGACATCTTATAGGCTTTATGTGTGATATTATACAGGCTCTATGTATGGTATCATACAAGCTTGACCTTCACAACACCCGGTAACTACATAACAGTTTTCTTGTGATGGAACGCGTCTTGTTAATCATATATATTCTTAGGCGCATGTGAGGAAAACTCGTGTCATAATATCAAGTAGCCTAAATTTTACCAATGATTTCAGCTTAAATATACTAAATTGGCAGCCTCAGGTTACACTAGAATAGAGCAAGCTTGTAAAATCCCTACAGGAGTCCTACACAACCTATACGCTTGAAATCGATAAGTCCTTTTAGCTATCAAAGGTCACCTACATCGTGGCAGGATGATGCATGTATAACCCACTCAGTTACTCTACCCAGGGGAACACAAATCTTGATTTATCTCCAGGCCTATGAGGCTAGTAGAAAGATTCTTTCATAGGAATACACAGAGATTCTTTCATGTAGAATGATGTGTATAATGAGACGTAGAATGATATGTAAAATTATATGTAGAATGATGTGTAGAATGTTATGTAGAATGATGTGTAGAATGTTATGAATAATGAGACGTAGAATGATATGTAGAATTATGGTGTATATACATCATTTTTCGTATGATGTACAATGATGTGTATAATGATATGTAGAATAATATGTAGAATGATGTGTAGCATAATATGTATAATGATATGTAGATTAATATGTATAATAATATGTGGAATAATATGTATAATGATATGTAGAATAAAATGTATAATAATATGTAAAATAATATGTAGAACGATATATAGAATAATATGTAGAATATAGGGTTTAACGCCACGTAGCCATCAGAAGGATGCCATGCTGAGCTCGTACACAAACGTGCCTAAACCTAGAATTTTATGTGCGTCAATCGTACGTAATTATTTTTTAAAATAAAGTAACACGTGTCCTTCTCTCAGCACTTCGTATTATTGAGTCTGTTTCAGTTGAATACGACGCTATTTTTCCTTATTATTATCCGAAATATATTGTATTATTACAGACATGTAATGAATAGATAAATTTTGTATCATTTATTGCGGACATATATAATATATTTATACCTACTACGTAAGCTAAAATAACATCTTTAAAGTACAGCCCTTTTATCTTTTGACAATGAATGTGGAGAGAGTCTTCTTGGAATTTTTTCGTAAGTTAAGTTAATGACGTTAATTCTAATGAGTTCACAATCGTATTTGGATACGATATCATCAGTGTTCAAGGCTACAGCCAAGCTACAGATCATGCATGTTGGTCTTACATGTTGGTCTTTTTTGAAAAAAAATGCACTTATCCCATACCTTTTTGTATAGAACCATAATTTTACGGGGGTCATGTTATCTTCAATTTGGAGAAAAAAAATCAGAGCGCATTATAAAACACATTCTGTTTGACATTGCATTCAGTTACTATTTTCCTCGATTAATGTGATTAACGTGTGATAGAATAAAATAGAAATGAAATGTCAGCACTGAAGAAATAGGCTCATGGCCTGTTGCCGATTCTTGTACTTTTCGTGACTTGATTCACAAGGGATCCGGCCTTTGGAGGCCGGGCGGTTAAGCACAGCAGAATTGTAGCAGTGAGTTGCAAGTTCGGGACCGCATAAATGCTGTGGATGTTCTGCGATGTTAAGAGTCAGCGACAGGCCTACGGCCTACTAAACGCTGGAACCACTATATTATAACTGACGATTGATTGAGATAGCTGCTGGACTTGTTGCCTGGTCCGTAAGTTGCTAGGCATTTTAAGACTGAACATATGCTCCTGCATAGCTTCGTCTAGTCTGTTCTTGAAGGCGTTCATACTCGGAGCGTCAACGATGCTATCAGGGAGGCTGTTCCACATGTCAGTGCTCGAAGCGAGAAGAAATGTTCTAGGGAAGTGTTGATATGAAACAAAAATACGGTCGTCAACAACAATATTTATGGCAGCCTCCCAATTAGTGTATGAACATGGGCCTATGTGGTAATTTTCGCCGACACAAGCAATATGCTGAACTACCAACTGAGGCTAAAACCTTTATCTGATATATTTTGCCGAATAAAATGTACGTTTTCTAATTTTGTAAATCCACGGAGTTTAGTTCCACATAATCACTTACAAAAATTCCATCGTTCGTGAGCTCTTATCTCTGTTAACATAGTTTGAGTTTAAAAGCCATAAAATTTAATGATAAATTGCAATTAATAGTTATTCAATAATTATATTTAATAAACAATTATTATTTCAACAAATAAACTGCCATAAATTACATAGTCATATGATATTAGATGATTTTTTTCAAATTTACCCGCCTTCTTCGCTGTTCCATTTTTCATACGTAGTGAATGTTGGCATCAATTATTAAATGTTACGTAGTGAATGTTTGCATCAATTAATAAATGTTCATGGTATTTTTAATTCAATCTGGAATCTCACAAAGAAAATTTTTCTGAAGCAATGCGTTGTTAATGTGGTTATTATGAACTTTGTGGCTCTGTAGCACGGCAATTGTGGTGCTGACGCCGCCTCAGCCCGCTGCTCCGCCACCCGCCTCTCGTGCTCCGCCACCACGCTCTGAAATCAGTTATTATCATTATAATTATATTATCATTACTAACGTAATTATAATTATATTATCATAACTAACATAATTATAATTATATTATTATTACTAACATAATTATAATTATATTATCATAAGTAAAATAATCATAATTATATTATCATATGTAACATAATTATAAAAGCCCTAAATTTTAGTTCGTATGCATGGGTCTCTACTTAATATAAAATAAAATTTTTCACTATACCTTATTAGTAACTCTATTTAGTAGAACCTTCAACTAAATATAATTTGAATGTTTAAAATAATCAATCAAATACATATAAATTCGAAGAATACATGTAGGCATATATCGTACATGCGGTGCTAAAAATACTCAGAATTTTGAACCTACAGTATTTCCATGCTGGTAAGGCTCCATTTTAACCTTTACAGTTAAATTAATAATAGTTATAACTTACCTCAAAGTTCAGTCATAATCAAACTAATAGTTTAGTAATTATGTTGGAAGATTGAATGTGTTGTTACTTTAGTGAAATTGTTAAAACACTATCTTTATTCTAATAAACACGTTTAAATTACCAATTATTTTTGTTAAATTTTTAAAATGAATAAATGAATATAATAACAATAACATACAAATATTGATCTTAACATGCATTCAATTTCCAACAGTTTGCTCCTAATTGCTCAGCATTCCAAAACATAAAAAATAAATTAGTATTTGCACATTATTAGAATTTGAAATTCTAACCTGAAACTTGGCGCACTCCTCCCGTAGATTGTGCAGAGTTTTCTCTTCGTCTTCCAGTTTCGTCTTCCATGCCTGGATTTCCACCTCCATTTCCTGAGTTTCTGTGACGTGCCGATGCTTCCAGAACTTTAGTTTCATGTCCAGTTTCTCGATAGATTTTTCCAGGTAATAAATCATAGATTCATGAGCTTTTTGCTCCAGCGGTAAATCTTTGGTAATGCTATTCAACTTTTCTTGAACTTCTTCGTTTTGTTTTTCTAGTCTCAGCTTCAAATCAATTAGTTGAACTGAAGCCAACTGCTCTTCGTATTGCAGCCTCTGAGGATTGGCTTCACGTGCATTTTTTATTTCATTTTGAACGGAGTCTAGGCTGTTCTTTAGTTCCTTGTTGTGAACAAGAATCTTACTGTTCAAGTCCTTCAATTGTTTCTGGAACTCTCCGACTCTGTCGACTTTTTCGATGTGCTTTTGTTTCCACCTCCTGCCCTGATAAAGAGCAATAAACTCTTTCTTTGATTCTTGCTCAGCATCTGCTCTGTCAATAGCTTTTTGCAACGTCGCAAAAGAATGCGTTGACGTAACTTCCCGTAGAAGGTCGTCGTATAACTGAACGACGTATCGTACGTCGCAGGCTATCTTACGATACGACAAACTCCCGCTGATGTCCACCGAAGATAAATCTAAATTTTCCGCGTCTGCGGGCTGGCTTTTCTGTTTCAATAAACTCTCCACTAAACGCAAGCCTAGCAACGCCTCATGCAGGATCGGTGCCAGCATTTTTGATAATTTGGCCCCCAAATAATTCGTTTGCTGGCGATTTTCAACCGACATTTGGATGATCTAATGAGAATTTTTTCAACATAAATATTTACTGTGTTCGTAAAGAAATATATTTCTTCATCTGCTCATCGTATTAGCACTCGAAACTCTTAGAAACTATCCAAAAACTTTGAACAAACTTGAAAAATTCTTCAATGTTGATTTAAGAACAATTTTACTCTATATATTCTATCGGATCTAGCAATGAAATTCTATCATCAGTGAGCGTTACATGCTGGAGTTCAGACTTGCCAACACAAGTGAAAGTTTCTGTAGCTGCTGGTCAAAGTTGCTATGGTTACAGTTGCAAGGCCAGCTGTTGCTATGGCAACTGCTTATGTAGCTACTGTTGCTAAGGTAGCTTTTGCTATGCTATCTGTAATTAAGAACTCTTACTTTGTTAACTTTTCAAACCTTTAGTTCAAAAAAGGCAGCTCCTTATGTAACTCTTTATATTGAAACTTCTCATCGCAGTATCATGAGCAGCGTTCGTCGACAACAAATGGAATAAAAAATGTTTCCAGTAAAAATTTTATTTTGAATAATGATTTTATAATATCTTCACTCGCTGAATATAGCTGTATGTTCAACGATGGTAAACTTCGAATACATAATATGACTTTTTGACGCAGTCACTCCCCGCTAAGAGAAAACCTTAAGCTCTGAATTTTGTTTCTGACTTTTAAATATTCATCTACATATGATAACTCATAAATAATATGATATGATTCATATATATGAAAAATTCATATGATAAATAATTTCCAATCCAAATATTTATACCCAATTAATCACATTATAATGCTATCATTTTATTTTGAAATTTAGCACAGCGCATTTGCTCTGAACTCGAATGTTAACTTGAATAATTCGATTAAAATAATGATAAAGGAGGAAGGATGGCGGGGGTTAGTGGTCCCAATAGCAGAGGTGGGGTGCAGAGGGGGGAGGGGTGAGGCAGCGCCCCAGTTCCTCGCACCCCGGGGGGGCCCAATGCTGTCAACAAATAAATACTTTATTTAAGTTTGCACTGCATTGACACGTGACCAAAAAAACAGTACATGGGTTCAATGGGTTCCTAGCGAACCTTCTGTTTATCTTTTACGACGATCTGATCTAATTTGGCTCTATATATAATAATAAGATAATTTGGCTCAATAGATAATAATAAAATAATTTGACTCAATTTATGGTTATAAGAAAATTTAGACGTCTTAAAGCATGTGATGAAAGATAGTCTTGCCCGAATTGAAGCAACATCACAGTGCGGAATATCCAAGATATTTTTGTTTTGTTTAATTAAATTATTGATTGTTTTATTTTCTTTCAATTGGTGATTAAAGAAATGATATATTCATGGTATCAAATGTGCATAAATGGTGCATAATAATAAATAGTATTGAGATGCTTCACTGTTGCAAGTGTTGCAAGTAAACCTATAGGCACAAACATTTTAATTACCTCAATCAAACGCAATATTCAATGGGTCATATTGTCCAATTAGTGACGATTTTTTCTGCTCGTATGATAAGCCTTTTTGACGGGAAAACAAGGTCAACATAACCCACACAATCGCAAAAAATTTCATCGATATTTGGTCAAAATCTCACTCATTCCTTTGAGTGCTCGTACTGATGTGGAGTGAGAGGCCAGTTGCTATTTTATAACGTATTTATCAACAATATTCATCATATATTGTTCATAAAAATCTTATTTTTCAATTTATCATTCAAGATCATCATCATTTTGTATGATCAAAACACATGACTCACCATAACCGCGTCATCGCACCAGTTGAGCTGTGGCTCTGCCAGCTGCAGGTTGTTTACATGTTGCTCCACCAGCGCCAGCAACTGTTATCCGTATCACGGTTATAATAAATATAAGCGGGTATACAGAAGTCAGAATTATATCATTATCATGTACAACTTGAATGAATTCGTAGTTGCAGATTAAACTGTGAAGAAAAAACTTCAACGCAGGTTCATTGTAAGAATTTTACATGGAAAAAATCTAAAGTAAATTTGAGGTCCTTCATGTTTTAAATAACACTTACTTCGTCGATTGATTTATTGTATTAATTAAGAGTAGCCAAAATTTTCTGTATGAATACAAAACAAAACGCCTTTTTTTTAATTTAAAGACCAAAAATCAAAGTTTGAGACCAAAACTCAATTAAAATTATGAATGCACATGGCATTCGATCTTGTCGCGTTTATATGGCCTTACGCCAAATGCCAAATGTGCAACTTCTACGCAATGATTGACCTAAAATTCCTATGGACAAGAAACAGAAACGATGAATAAAGTTTTTTCAACACCTGAAACTGCACATAAAACCAACTTTTTCACTTACATCTTGACCTCGGATACACATTAAAATGAGTGCGTCATATTGTCTAAATAGTGACACACTTTCATACGCACAAGACGAGCAGAGGGCGGATGTACCCTTGAATTAATAGGTCTTTTAGCGGGACCAAACTGGGTCTGGATGACCAGCACATGGCAAAAATGAAAGTGCATCGTTATTTGGACAAATTTACACCTATTTCTCTGAGTGCAGACCCACCTGAGGCACGACGGTCTTGTAGACGCTCGAGGTGTTGGAAATTTGGTAGCGCTCAGCGGGGTCTGAAAATTAGTACAGCTTGTAGTACATTAGCTGCATGGTCTAATGAATGTGTTTCAGATATGAGATGTGTTTTAATTTATTTATGTGTTTTAATATATGAGAAATAAATATTGTTTTTAGTTGTAGTTTTCGTGGTACAGATGGGATGTTAGCTCTTCTTCAATCATTGATTGGCCATCCATGCATGATCTTGACATTTAATAACATGACATTTTTATCGATTTATAACGCAAATGTCATCACGCTTCGGTCGGAAAACAGATCCTCTTGAGCCTTTCTACTCATTCGGCAGAAATTTAAAACCCTATTTCTACATTATAAATAACATCTAATAATAATTGTTAGCAGATGTTATGGGTTGGAGCGTGGCTGCCTTGGTTACCTGCAACGACATCGTAGAGGATTGGGTTGTCAGTGTGGTTGACTTGGTTGTAGGTTGTGACGTTTGGTTGTCTTTGCCCGGGACAGAAATCGTCGTCCTTTAGATTAGGGCAAATTAATGTCATTCATTAACTGATGTAACAATTATATATAAATATTATGCATAATCTATGGTCTGTAATTACGGTGTTCATGAATTATATTCCGATTTTTTTATTTATCAAAAAAGAACATTCATCTTTATGATTGCACTCAACGGCATAAATAAATGCCTCCACATCAATCGAGATCAGCATTTATCATGAAATGGTCTGCTGTACAATGTTCATATTTAGCATGCATTGCATTAATGTGCTGAAGAGTGTTTGTATCAAAAACACCACAGTACATATAATACATGCACTGTCTTACAGGCCGTATATATGGTTCCAAATTAACATAATTCATTCATTGCAATACAACTAATACACGAGCAGCACCACAAAACACCATTGTAGTGAGGTCATGCATCGCATCACACATCACTATTATGGTGAGGGCAAGGCCAGCACCACACATCATCATTGTAGTGAAGGTGCTCACAATTTCGAGGAGGTGGGGAGGGGTGGCCCAGGTCCAGAGGTGCAGCTTGTAGGGGCCATCGCGCACGGCCATCAGCAGGTTACCGCGGTACAGAAACACGCTCCTGCGCCGGAAGTTATATCAAAATCTTTTTACGTAACATAAAAATAATTCCATTTAACATAAAAATATTTTTATTTAACATAATAATCTTTTATGTAACATAAAAATCATTTTACGTAACTTAAAAATCCTGTTATGTAATATAAAAAACTTTTTACGTAACATAAAAATCTTTTTATGCAACGTTAAAATCTTTTTATGTGTCGGTTGTATCAATTATTCAATGAGATTGATTTTCCCTAACCTAAAGAGCGGTGAGGAGGAGAGGCTTGTGAGGGTACGAGAAAGTGAGCCCTCTTTGAGGGTGAGAATAATGATATCTGTTGACAGGCCGGGTTTTGAGTGGATGTAGCGGCAGGAAGGAATGTTGTGCTTGCAGTGGTTGAAATTTGACGACAATGTTTCTCAGTTGTTGACAAGTTATAAAGAAAAATGATGTTTTTTAAAGCGGGTTCCGTTTCATCAGGGTTTTTATTCTTATTTCCTTATATCGAGTATAGGGCTTCCTATTCCACGGCCCCGCTGATGCGTCGCCTAAGTCGTCCTCCTACTCCAAGCCTTCGATAGACAGGTCACCCGCCACTAGGGCATTTTAAAGACTGGTTCGGAAAAGTTCATGATGCTGATTTTCGGGGTCTTGGTGACCTGGCTTGTCGTGTGATGGGGATTGACAGGTAATGGGATGGAAGAGCGGCAGTGGTGATCCAAACCATGGTCAGGGTGTCAAATGTGACCGGTAAGTCAAGCGATGTGGGTTGTCCAATGTTTGTTGGAAGTTCTAGGAGAACTTCTAGATGGAAGATCTAAATTAAGTGAAAGAAAATAGAGACTTTTAGGGTCAGTGGATAAGAGGTTTGAGGTGGAATATAGATGTTGATGATATTCAGGTTCGTGTTGTTGGCCTTGATGGTGATAGGTTGTTCTAGTTTTCCTCGTTGAACGAAAGCAATGGCGAGAATCGTCTTAAGAATGTGGATTGCCATGTCAAGAAAGGCGATGTTATTAATAAGCTTATAAATTAGATAATTTTATCTCGAATGCTTTTAATGAGGAAAGTCGTATTTTAGAACAACACTACTTTCATTTAATGCCTGAGGGCATAATTTCCGTCATTAACCTCATTCCATCATTTATCAGTGCACTCTTAAATTACCCTCATTCCATAACCTAGATCACCTCGCCTTAATTTTATAAATTATGAATCCATTGCCCTCAGCCATGACGAAATTCTTTTTATCCAATATATTTAATCATCACTCTAATTTACATCTCAGTCGATTGAACTTATTTGTCATTTTTGGCATCCTGCATCGGAGGTGAGAATAGGCAACACCTGCAAGGCAACACCTGCTAAGAAACACCTCCTAAGCAACACCTGCGAGGCAACACCTGCCAGGCAACACCTGCTAATGTGCAGCTCAGGATGCAGTAGGGTGTTGGACAGCGGTAGGCCGTCCAGCGTTAGGTTCTGAGGTAGAGCAACGCCTGCCAACTCCAAAAAAGTGGGTAAGAAGTCCATGTGGGTCCAGACCTGTACAACACAGAGGAAAGTGGGTAAGAAGTCCATGTGGGTCCAGACCTGTACAACATAACCACGCTGGTATTATATTGAACGCTCCGCCAACATAGAAAAGCCTGCATGAAGAAGCTGCAATAAATTAGCTTACTCTTAATGTCGAAAACTTTGCCTGCATGAAGCCATTGCTGTCTAACGTGACTTCTAAACAATAGCGATAGCGCGAGGTTGCCCAATTCAATACAATTCTGAATAATTATTTTCATGAATAATATCGGTGCTAGACGATGTCTAATCGTTTTTAATATATTATAGAGGTAGAAGAATATCTTTATGATATTATCAGATTAGGCTTAACTTTTTCTGTTATACATTCTCCATAGTTCGTTTTTTCCTTCATGCTTTCCTTCATGAGCGAATTGTTAATAAATGTGTTACGTAGTAATTAATTTCAATGTAAGATGCAATTTTACATTTTTTATTATTCTCCTCCTAAATGTCACTAAAACATAAAATAAGCTTCTTGTTGAGTTTACTACCTGTGTTAATTATTTAAAATTTAAAAACTATGAAAATGACACGTGAATTCACCAAATCTTTTTGAATCTTCCCTACATCTACATGGCGTTTTTTGCTTTCAAACTTTTCGTGAACTTGCGATTTAAAGACATATTATATAGGTACTTTTATTCTGTTTTAATTAGTATAATAAACCATCATCCCTCCATCATCACCTGGTCGGTAGTGGTACCGGCTGGTATGGTCCCAGGCCACCAGAAGATGCCCGGTACCCTCATGCCGCCCTCGAAGGTCGTCTGTTTACCGCACAGAAGTGGTCCGTTGCTGCCGCCTGATATCAAACTTACAATTTATTATATGAATGACCGCATGTTTAATACAATATATATAGTAGTTTTTCAGACATAAACCACAGTCCTTTTCCTTGAAGTTGTCACCAACTTGAAGCACACTCTAAAAAAGTTAAGATACTTTGTCCAAATACTGATGCACTTCTTGTGCTTGTGTGGACCCTCCTAACCCTACTTTGCCCGACAAAAAGACATATAAATGCTACATGCGGAAAAATGTCCCTTTTTGGGGAATATGACGCATTCATTTTTTTGGAACATAATGCATTGTTCATTAATAATGGCATTCGTTATCACAAGTCCCACGAACTTGGTAATATATCAGATAGTGAGGCAGTGGTTCCCAACCTTTTACTCATCCGCACCACTGCACCAGTATAGGTGTACAACTAGCAATACGCATACTACATGTTGGTAGCTGATGGAGTGGGGTAAATGAAGTTGAATGAGGTTCATAATTAATTAATGAAGGTAATTAAGATTGACCTTGCGTTTTACTGACGAGGGCAGCGCCGTTGTCGGACGAGAAGACAACGAGTGTGTTGTTGGACAGGCCATTGCGGTCCAGCTCGTCCAGGATTGCCCCCACTCCAGCGTCCAGGTCCTGGACCGCTGAACCATACCGACCTGCAGGCGTGTGCGGAGTGATTTATTACCAATGAACTTGGGGTACAATGATGGTATAATAAGTGGAAATAAAGGGTGCAGTTTTATCGTCTTCTTTTATTTATTATTATTATTTTAATTACGGTACAGTGGCATTCACATGCCATTAGAATGATAGCACAGGCAGTATCGAATAATCAACTTGTCACCAACGATAAATTAATAAGCCAAAAAGCGAAGAATATTAAAGTAGAATATATAGAATAGTAGAATAAAGTAGAATCGTATTGCCAGAATAGGAGTACATAAATAAGTAAGTGTTAGTTTACTTAAGCACTTGTTGAGATAAGTGACTGCAGCGGCTTTACTTCATTGGCTTGTAGGATTGGGCGATTAAAAAGGATTGGATGTGACACAATGGATAGCAGATGGCTTTTGCAAAACTTATAGGATTAGGGGATTGAATGGGATCTATTCGTATTTATGGGATTCATTGGGATTGTACATGGCTTGCACATATTTATTGCATTAGGAATACACTGGGTTGAGTTTATAAATATTTTTACCTCTGCCGCTCTTGCCGACATACTGGACGTCAGCGTAGGTTGGCGCGTGCGTAGAGTCTGGCGTCCAGAACAAGAAGAAAGGCTTGGCGTCGGCAGCGCGCGCCCTGATGAAGGAGGTTGCCTCTTCTGTCAGCAGACGCGTGTAGTTCGACACGTGGCCAGGGAAGTCGAATTCTTTTTCGTAATACCTGAAGTTGTGAACAGATATTGAGAAAATTTAATAAATTATTATTACTTAAATTAATTATATTAATTGGAGTTGAGTGATATTTGTTAAGATACTACGTGCTGGTTGAGTACAAAACGCACTCTTTGGTCCACCCCGCACCGAACTGTGGAAACATGCGCCCACATCCCCACCATGCACCCTCCAGCCCACCACCCACCCACCTGCCCACCACACCTGCCCACCACCCACCTGCCCACCATCTTGTTGTCCCTAAACACAGCGATGTTAGGTGTGGTCACGTCATCGTAGGGACCGAAGTGGCAGTTGGGGGAGCCGAAGTAGGAGTCAAAGCCGTGCTGTAGCGGCAGGAACTTCTCTTGGTGGCCCAAGTGCCTGGTATTAATTAATAAAGACGATGTATGTATCAAAATAATCTATACCTGACTTACTCTGATATCAAATTGTACCTTTGAAACCTGTTAATGTTAATATATATAGAGGTTTTAGAAGCGATACGTATCATTAGATATTTATGTTTCAGAAGCAATATGTACTTAAAATTTTAACTTGAAAACGTTGAAATACTTGAAATTTCTTGAAACTTCAAACATAAAACGAGGAAACAAGAAACGGAACATGAAACCTATTGATTTAAAATTACTAGAAAGGAAGAACTTTTCGAATTATTATAAATTTCAGGAAGATCTGCTCAGAATAAAGGAAATATCAAAACATCTGCTCAAAATTAATCCCTTATTTTATATCATCTGCCTTCAAGCTCTTGATGAGTTTATTGACCCAACATTGGCCGCATAGATTATCCTACATCCTACATATATCTGTGCTTAAGAAAGTCATCCGAAACAACAGCGACCAAACAGACCAATTTTTAGCACGCCACCGCTGTAAGGTTAAACATTTAAATCCTATATTATCACATCATCTTCTTTCTAGTTTATAATAACAAGTTTATTAAATAAATAAAACCTATATTATCATATCATAAATTTATATGATAATTTAAATTTACGATTTATTTATATGTATTTATGAGGATTCATTCTACGCACCACTTGCCGACCACGGCGCTGACGTAGCCCGCCTGCTGCAGCAGCTCAGAGAGGAGAGTCTCCTCGTCTGCGATGCCCCCTACGATGTCCTGGGGCGTGTACGCTGTAGTGATGATATTATATAGAAATAATAGTTTTATGTACAAAAATATTTATTGTTAGTTATTGTTAGTTATTGTTAATTTAATTTATCAATAAGCCAATGGGTTTTTAATAACAATTCACATTGGAGCCTGAACGCTGAACGATACAAGCAATAATTGATTGGTTGTTAATTATTAGAAATAATTATTAAATTGCACATTTTCAAAATTGATATCGTTTAACTTGTATATATAAAAGTTAGTTATTGTTCCAAATTTTACAAAATGTTTAGAACTATAGGCATTGTGAATTTTATTTAATAATAGGTCAATGTGTTATGAATTCGAATTTTCGTTGGATGAAATTCTAGCATTACGGGTACCTTAGTCCTCTCTTTTGCATTTAGTTATTCTGAAAATATTTTTGAAAATTTATATATATAGTTCACTGCCGACGAAAACGGACGACATTTCGTACCTCATATGGGAAGTATACATTCATAAAATGTTCGTTCATTAAGGTTATCACAGCTAACAATTAAATATGTTTCATCAAGAAATTGCAATCAAGTGTTGTTTTTCCTCACCATTTCTTCCCAAGTCATTGTCGGAGTAGAAGCCATTACGCACGGGCAGCCGGCCTGTCAGCAGCGCTGCGCGAGCTGTAGGAGCAATCAAATGTTCGTAACTTTGTCTAGAACAACTTCTATGTTCTCTAATTTATCTAAGTTCTACTCAAATGTTCGCAAGTTTGTCTAAATCTACTTAAATTTATAAAGATTTGCCTAAAGTTTTACGCAAATATTTTCAGCTTTGTTGATATCAACTTAAAAGTTTATATAACTTAAAAGTTTATATATATTATAAAAGTTGTCTAACGTTCTAATCGAATGTTCTCGGCTTTGTTGAAATCAATTCAAATGTTTTCTAATTTTTTTTAACGTTCTACTCAAATGTGTTCGGCTTTGTCAAAATCTACTTAATAGATTTCTAATATGTCTAACGATCTACTCATATGTTCTCGGCTTTCTCTAAATCAATTCAAATGTTTTCTAATTTGTCTAACGTTCTACTCAAATGTTTTCGGCACAGTCTAAATCTACTTAAATTTTTACTAATTTGTCTAACGTTCGATGTAGATATTTTATATTTTGTCTACGTTCTACGCTAATTTTATTAAATTCGTAATTCCTTAAGAACCTTCCATTTTTAGACTCATTAAATGAAAATGTTGACTTTTGGCCAAAATTTACATGATTTGCTTAATACCCGGATCGTAATAACATTCAATTTGAACAACATTCTAAAAAAATAATACATATTTACCAAGGTATAATCTGCCGTTATTAATTAATTAATTACGGAAGAATCGAAAAATTATAAATTCGCAAATAAGTCATGTAATCTAGTGTTGGTTGCCACATGGGCCTAATCGTTTCATGTTTCCGGTGTTCCAAACGTGTAATTTTTATTGCTGAAATGTTATTATATATTAGGTGACACTTAAATTAACTACCTACACACACAGTATTATGCTACGAATATTTTTCACTCGTTAGGTTAATGAAATCTCTTGTATCAGCAAATATCATGATTGATTGGATAAACGGTTCACCGTACTCACAATTATTATTATAACATCATTATGTGGTTAATAATGTTAACTGGACACACATAACTGTTATCATAACATGATTGTGTGGAAAATAATGATCACTTTTTTGCATTTAGCTAATTTTTGACTGGTTTTTCCTAGAAATAAAAATGGCGCTTCGGTCATAGTTGAATTCAGCCTGGGGTTTATTTTATTGGGTTTTTGAACCGTCACTCTTGCTCGGCATGCTGTTCTTCTGTAACATTATTCTCCACCATATAACCTTACCTATTCCGTATTCAACATATGTGATGTACGAGTACTCAACAGCTATGAGACTCGAGGTTTTGTTGGTGAATGGAAACCTTTGGCAGGCTGGCCACGTGGTTTAAGTTCAGAGTACCAGAAACGAAGCAGTGAGTCGTGGGTTCGATACCAGCAACCAAATGTGTAAAGTTATGATCGAAATCGGCGAAGCGGTTGGGTAGAGTGGATATTGGAGCAGTGAGTTGAGGGTTCGAGACCCACAATAAGCTGTGAAAATTCTGCGCTGCTCAGAATCGGCGACATGCATAGTAACCTAACTTGCAACGCAGACTTCGCTATTCTTATTGTGAAACTTGAAAACAATTCTATTCAATGAAACTGAGAGCCTTCAGCAATAGCTGCGCTAGTTTTCTCTGTGTAACGCATAATTTACACAAATAATTACTTCGACTTCAAAACATCGCCACGTAATTAAATTTTAATAGCGTGTCGTGTATGAAGTCAGTTTAGTATTCAATTGACGACTGAATTGATAATTAATCATTATTGTCGCCGAGTATCTCCCGAGTAATTTTAGTTTTTTGTCACGCGTCACGAAATGCATTTCACTTATTCCTATAATCAACGCCGACCTAATTTGATACACCATACTTTACCATACACTATAGTACCAAACTATACAATACACTATACTATACTATCGGTTACGATATTCCATACTATATATACCTTATTATACTCTACTATATTCTAGCATATATACATTCTACATACATTCTATTCTATTCTATCATACTGGCGTTTAAAAAAAATATAACTCAGTACTCACTGCAGTGAGTGACAGAGAGCGCATTTTATCGTCGAGGAAAACGTGAAGTCACGGACGGACAGACAGACGGACCGACGGACGGACGGACATGGCGAGCACAATAGTTCATTTTTTTCATAAATGAGAAAATGCGCTAAAAAGAAATTGATGCGCTAAAAAAATGAAAGAAAATGTCATACTGGCGTTGTAAAAAAGCCATACCGTGAGTGAATGGCATTTAAAAGAAGATGAGGATAATAAACTGATGTGGCATTTAAATAACACCAGGACAATAAACTGACATGGGGAGCAGAGGGGGGCAGAGGCGTACATGGCGGGCACCAGCACCCCCTCCCGCGCCATGCGGTCCAGCTGGGGGGTCTCGCGCCCCGGCTCCCCAAAACACCCCAGGTCCCCCCACCCCAACTGTCAGGGGTCAGGGGGTACACGAGTCAGCTGTGGGCACTACACTCAGAGAAATGAATGAGACCTTGACCAAATGGGGATGCAATTCTTGAACTGGCGTGGGACAACCTGACCAAGATTATGTGGGCAAAAAGGCGTATCAGAGCAATGGGCAGATAGAGTGTCATTAATTCAATTCTACAATTAGACATGTTTATTTTTATGAGTGTGTAGTAATTCATTATTTAGTTTTTGCATAGAGTAAGTTTTTCGTACATTATATCCAATCAATAAGTTTCCAAAAGCATATATATGAGAAAACATTCAGAAACGAATATTGGCAACTCAGTTGTATGCTCACGTCGTCCATCAGCATGACGACGAAGTTTGGTGGGTTGCCTCCGTAGGCTTCCTCACTCAACAGGCTTGATGCCAGAAACAGCAGCCAAAAATACGACTTCCTTAGCATATTTGCTTCAATTAGCTATAAACAATTTTAGGACCGAAAAATTACCTACATCTGCCAAAGATAGAACATTGTGAATTTTGGCCATTTTAAATGTTTTACGCTCCGTGCTATTCATATTGAATGAAAATGAATACATTAATTAAAACGGTATTACTTTAGATTAAGTGCATCCAAAAAAGTTTTTTTTTAATTATATGTTTCTTGGGGTGTAGATTAAGAATCTGAAATCCGTTTTTTGGCGGTCGGCATCGGAAAAAGGATTTTTTCCCGATTTTTTATATATTTTCTACATTAGAATAAATGAAAACATCTCACGGATCCAACACGCAATAAACTTTTTATTTCAGACTTAACGCAGTCACTTAACAGGTGACAAACTGTAAAGTTATATGTACTTTTATTTATTTTCAAAATCAAAATAATCGACCGTACCAACGAGCTTTACACTTCAACACCAGAGAAAACTTGGCAACACCCGATCATTCTTTCTAAGCAAATACATTCGCTAGTATGTTAATGTTATCCCTCACTACATCACCTATTAATTTTGCATTGAATGTCAGCTTGTCATTCATAGCAGGATCATCCAACATGTCACTACGAAAGGAAACCTACAACTGAGCGATGTGCATGCATCAAGATCTCACCGTATCTGGAACAGTTGCCAGATGTTCTTTCAAATTCATGCAAGAACCATTTCCAATTAAATCTTTGCGCTTACATACATTTGATTATGATTTCCTGTACAATAGGTTCAACGTTAAATCTCATGTTAATATTAATGGTTTATATACGAGGAATGAATATGAATAACACAATTAAAAAAATCAAAGTGTTATCTATTCTGGTCATCTGTTGATGGTCTGATAGTTTCTATCTGTTGCGCCATGAGAGACAGATAGTTACTATCTGTGCCCTCGTGGTTCTTTTACAGTTGCCTGACAACGAAACTAGCACTGCTTGACTAATAAATGAAAGGGGGAAAAAAGGGAGGTAGATCCCAGACAGAAAAGAGAGGTACAGATCCCAAATTATATTCTTCGATAAGGTACTAATTTGTTAGAGTTGTCAATTTATGATCGTATTTTTCTGGAATGACCTAAATAAGAAAGATGAAAAAAAATCCTGTAAACAAATGGCTTTTTCTACCTCCTATAGTAAATCTATTTGTGTGAAGTTGCTATTCAGATAATTTTCAAAAACTACAATTATCAGTTATTGTTTATTAACAAAACTATTAAAATCTACTGCATGAATAAAGCGTAGGAACATAAATCGAACTTTAGTTTATTGACCAAAGCTTATGTAGAGTTGTTAAGAGCCAGGCGAGCAATTATAGGCAGGATGTGACATGGCCGTAAAGTTGGGGTAAAAAACGTGGAAGCGAGTTTGTTTATATAGCGGTTATCTATATAGCGGTGTCATCGTTTATTAGGCCGTAGGCCTGTCGCCGATTCTCAACATTGTAGAACTTCCACAGCTTGTTGCGGGCTTGAACTCGCAACTCACTGCTTCAAATTTTCTTTGCTTAACCGCCCGGCCTCCTTGCCGATTCTGACCAGAAACTGGCGCACAGAGCTGGGATCGAACCCGCGCCTCTCTGCTCCAATCTTGGTACTCTGAACTTAAACTACTGGGCCACCCTGTGGGCTGTGGCCAGTGGTTAACCATCTCATAGTTCAGAATGGCCGAGAGTATCGTAAGGGCTGACCCTTATATAACGCGAAACTCTCGCGGCGTCCCTTGGTAGGCTTATTTGTGCGCAACGTCTGCCTATGTAAGGACCCAAACATTCGCACTTAAAGGTTGTTATCGTTGAGTGCATTTCAAGTGCAAGAGTTTTTCCAAGTGTATTGATGAGGCACATTCAAGACCTTTCACTCTTAACGAGAAATGCGTCTCATCTCTACTTCCCATTTATAATGCATCTTTATCCGATGTTAAAAGAGTAGCAATTCCTCGATTCGTCAATTATTCTTGCAGCTCTTCCGACAAAATTTGAAATTAGTTTTCTTTTCCGTGTACAATGAATCCCCTCTAAAGTTTCAAGAAGAAAGTTATGTAGTCAGCATGACGGCAATCCTTGCCAAGTTGTGGCCGAAGACTCGAGCAGATTTTTTCACCACTTCAAAATTTGAATAAGCAAATAGGGAACGTTCTAAATAGTCACCGATACAGGAGGGAATTTATTGTTTCCCCTTGGAACAAGCGACGTCCACGACAGCAGCTCCACTCACCACACTGGATCTCCTCCAACAGTTATAGCCGTTGACACCAACAGTGATGCACTTTATGGCTATTGTGAGTCATCCTGACCCACGCTGGGCCGGCAAAAGGGCATACCAGTGCTACTTGCACAAAATTCATCACTATTTGAACTATATGACCCATTAATTTTTCTGAGTGTTCCCTGCAGACGCTAAGAGATTCAACAACATAAACGTAGCACTAATACAAGAAACAAAACTACAACACAGACATAAAACACCCAACATCCCGTCCTACTCCACAATGCGACAAGACAGAGCACATGGAGCTGGCGGGGGTCTCATCACATACATACATGAGAGCGTCTCGTACATCGACACCACACAACAGGCGCGCAGACACATAAATGCAGACCAACACCTTGAACTTCAATCACTTAGAGTACAGACAGGCCACAACACCAACATCACACTCATAAACACCTACATTCCCCCACACAACTCTCCAGGATTACCTGCTAACTACCAATTCTCACTACAGGCCCTGGATACACAAAACAACATCATCCTGGGCGGTGACTTCAACGCCAAGCCCCCAGGATGGTATACATTAATGACCAGCCACACAAAGGAGCACCAATACAGACCAAACATCACACTAAACAACACCCCGATCCCGCACACACACGAAACAAAAATACTAGGGGTCACTTACAATACCTCCATGACATTCGGCCCTCACATCAACAACATAGTGAACAACGCAAACATCAGACACAACTCACTTCGGGCCCTAGGCGGTACCAAATTCGGCAAAAACAAAGAAACACTAGCACCAACATACAAACAGTTCATCAGAACAGTGCTGGCTTATGCCAGCCCCGCCTGGGCGCCCGCTCTATCCAACACAAACATACAGAAACTCCAAACACTACAAAACAAAGCACTCAGGATAGTCACAGGCTGCACACAAAGCGCCCCCATAGAACCCCTTCATGCAGAAACAAAAATACTTCCCATAAAAGCACACCTCGACATGAGAGGAACACGATTCATAGCCGCAGCCATAAACAACACACAACACCCGTGCCACTACCTACGCAACCACCCTCCTACACACAGACAAATAGTGCAAACCCCACACAGATACTACACCAACATACTAGATACAGTACCCCCACCCCAAGGCAACACCAGCACAAAAAAACACTTACACACAATTATGACACTTAGAACGCTGGAGCTGGCCGGCAACAACAAAGTCCTTGGACAAAACACTTACACACAATTATGACACTTAGAACGCTGGAGCTGGCCGGCAACAACAAAGTCCTTGGACACCCATCACCTGACATAAGCAGCACAGAAACAAATCTCTCTAGACTGGAGAGAGTACACCTAGCCAGGCTTCGCTGCGGCCACCACCCCTCACTACAAACATACGCAAACAGAATAGGCCAAGCAGACACAGACACCTGCCCATCCTGCCAGAGAGCTCCCCACACAATCACTCACATTCTCCTGGAATGTCCGCTCTGGCAGGACCTCAGACAACACCACCACATAACCTCGGCCCTACAGCTCTTGGGCGACCCCCTGTCGGTGGTGTCGTACTTGCGCGAGGGGGGTCTCCTGCAAAATTGAGACCGGGGAACCACAACAACAACAACATGCAAATACGTACTTAAAGATAACGTCTAAAGGAAAACGCAAGCCATCATTAACACTTTATATCTTGACCATGAGATTACATATGAAAAATACATGTAATAGATCCCTGCACGGTCACGAAAACATACAAAAATTAACCTAAATTTAGGAATGGAAGTGGAAGAGGTGCAAGCAAAACCTAAACGTTGATATGCCACTGAACGAGGGAGGTTCATGCGATACAAACTAAAACGTGAACCATTCTTAAAAAAATATAACCAGAATAGATGGAAAAATATCCTTACAAAAACAACTTAACCTCCATTCCACTTATGAGTAACACGAAACTTATCTCTACAAGCACCAGAATTTGGAACTTACAAGTAAAACATAATGTACGAAAGACAGTTTGTTTCTACCGGTCACAGCCTGGGACCAATAAAGAAAAGTAATTTGAAGCGAAACACAAATTTTACACCAAGAGAAATTAGCGGGTCATTGTCCAAATAGCGACTCACTTTCTGCCCTTATGTGACTCATGCGTCCCAGTCTGGTCCAGCTCAAAGGCTATCAGTGCTTCATGCACTAAGTGTGTCACTATTTAGACAATATTACCGTACCCATTCATTTTTAGGGTGCACGGAGAAATAAAATGAACGAGAAAAGTTGATCGACTTTCTCGTATTTAACGCAAAAATCGGAAATACTATTGATTGATATCGGATTGATATTTACACTATTGATGTAAATAATGCAAGACACATTTTCACACTACCAGTAACGTAAAAAATGTTTTGGTTTATCATCCTCAACTGTTATTAGAAGAAATAAATCCAACTGCAACCACCAATCCCAAAAAACATCGTAGAAAAATCGTTACCTACAAGGAGGACATGCAAGTCATGAGAGGACGAGACGAGTGTGCCTGCCTGCTTCCGTTAAACAATTATTTTACGAGAGAGAAACTATGATCCGAAGCAGCCAAGAATCTGTGATAAAACAACTATCCGGAAGACAGATGGTCTTCCACCACAGCTTTATTGTATTTTTGTACCTTAAACCATCGCAGAAAATACGCATTTCCTTTTTTAAACAACGCAAAACGACAAAGAATGAGATCATTTAACACCCATAGACAAGGAAGGTGCTAGTACAAAAAGCTATGCAGACTGCAATGCCACACATGAAAAGCCTCAAACTCATATTAATACATCATCTCTCCATCTGATAATTAAACTAGAAATAAAAGTAACATATTACAAAACTCAACCACTATTTATCAGTTTGGTTGCGGCACTGTAGCGCTTCCCTTAAGACATAAAATGGAAACGCGTCAATAAGGAACTATAATTAATCACAGTTGTAAAATCAGAGAATGGCAAACCCATAAACATGTACGAGAAATGTTCTTTACTCCTAATTATAGAATTGCAAATTCACGCATTCAGGCAGAGACCTCACATGCGATAAGCAAGGCTCAAGATATAACAAATATAAGCTTGTTATGACCATTTCTCGTCTTGACAATGTATATTTATATTCTAAGAGCGGCTCCGCTAACGCTGTTCGGAAAAGGTGATGTGAAAATTCACGATGTAAAGTTTGAACATACTTCAAATTGATTCAAATCCTTTTACGGCCAAGCACGCCAGTTTCGTGTATCAAAGATGCACTAATTAAGCATATAATTAAATCTCTTATCGCATTGAAATTCTTATCGACTCGGTCCAGTCCAGACATATATGCATGGTAATCAGATCCAATTTATATCAGTAATTAGTATATACGATACGGTAATCACTGGTTAATAATAAAAAAACAACGTTCAAAATATTCTTGAATGAGGAAATGTGCAGTAATAAAAATAGAGCGACTATAGCCTCGTTAAAGACATGTTAGTTTTCAATTCTGCCACGAAGCTTTCAACAGGACTATTGCCTTCCGCAGCACAATCGTAACATGCTCAACTTAACCATTTTCCTAGGAAGAGATAAAATTAAAGTAGCGCACAGCCATTAGATTAGAAATATGTTGTATAAGTTAAAGGCGATAGGAAAGATTTTCGTGTTTGTAGTTATCAAATGCGTTGGTAGAGACTTGCAGTGATTGTAGTCATCTAATGTGTTGGTAGAGACTTCCTACGTTAGCAATATTCGTGGTGCGTGTTATTGTTAAAGTTCATAAAATCGTCGTGAGTTTTACATTTTGAAACGTTCATAGACGTTGGTCAAGACTTTGGTGATCTCGGCAGAGAAATACTTCCAAGGTAAGCCATACTTCTCGACGTCCTGCTTGTCAGGGTGGTAGTGGATGCACGCCTTCAGGAACAACTGCCAAATGAATCATGGAAATTATAGAAATACTCACAGCAGAAATGATGAGTCTTGAGCTTGAATAAAATCGATTATTAACAGAAAAATATGCCAGTTGAACAGTTTTATTTTGAATTATTACGACAGTTCTAACATTACATATGTTAGGACATGTTAAACACAAAGCTTTTGAAGCAATATGGTACTGAAAATGAAGGGAAAGTTGAATTAAAGTCGAACATAATAAGGTTCCGTCAACATATTTGGCTACTTCAAGAGCTTACCTTCTTCAGATTTGACAGACCCATGGTCTTGAGCTCAGCTTCGGTGAAGATCAGTTTGTGGTCCTTGTTCTTAGGAGGGAAATTCTGGTAGATCTTCAGCAGCAGAAGATGAGTCGAGCCACAGCTGTACTTTGATTGGAAGTAGTGAAGCCTCGACAGGTCAAATTGAAGGCCCTGAAAACGGAGAAGAAAATATAGGTTGCACCGAAAAGTTTAATAACTTCCCGTAACCGGAGGGCAACCTTGACTGAAGAAATGGCAATATAAGATCTTGTATATATGCCAAATCTATTGATGATCTATAATTCTATATTGTAGACTAAAGTTTGTAAATTAAATAATCAATTGATTCGATGTCTAACATCAAACCAATTCCATCATAACAGTTCAGCCTCTAATATGAACCTTCAATTCTCAGGTTTAAGTCAGGTCATTTTAGCAAAAGTAGCATAACAACATTAGATTTCTGCACTACCCAAATATCAATTTGAAACCGAAATCTAAAAGATTTTTTCCAACATTTTGTGCCAGACCTAAACCATTTTATTTAATATTAGTATTTTTCTCACCATTTAGTGACAAATTAAAGAGAAATTTCTATTCTATGAAGAATACATTGTTTACTCACAGCAAGGTGTTCCTGTCGCAGCTCTTCCTCGCGCCGCTGCTGCTCCACCAGGGACTCCTCCTGGAACCTCGCCACGCTGTCACGCGCCAAAATGAACCAGTCTGGAAAACGGCAACTTTATTATTCAACACAACTATATAGAGCAACAGCATGCAATAAACGTACAGCTAACTTATTCAGCAGAAAATTTAACAAGTTTGAAGGTTTGATGAAATTTATTGTCATTTAATAGGACGTGCAACATCTAGGCATACAGGATAAAAGCAGTTAACCATTTCTTTGGCTTAGTTTCAGCTTGAGAAAATTTTCGATATATTGCCCTGGGAGAATCAATAAAGTGCAAAATAATCAATATTTATTCTTGTAATGTCCACAGGTTATTTTAAAATTCTCTCATGGGGTCGAACTCATGTTTTATACAAAACAAACGCCAATGACAGTAGAAAGACTGGTGGAGTGAATGGAGCCATACCCTCATTGACAAAACTTTTAGGCGCTGCCGAGTGTGCCAGCTGCAAGCTATGGATGAAGTATTTCTTGGCTTTGCATGGCATCTTCAGAATCTGATCGTAGACTTTGCCTATGCGGCTTGATGCTATGGCTTCATGTTCAATCTGTGAGAAATAAATAACATGAATCACACAAGAAGTAATTCTTCAATATTTTTATTAATGCTATCACCTCATCTTTTAATGTGAACTGTAAGCTTTTTGCCGATGACGCCGTGTTCTATGTCCCCGATCTCTGCCGCGTCTACGTCGTGGGAGTACCCTGGCCTGCGCGTCGGCCGGATGCCCGGCATACTCGCGGGTCAGGCCAAACGGCAGAGGCTCCCCGCCCGGATCGCTACCGGACGGAGGCTCCTCTCTTCATTTTTTCAACCAAAGGTTGGGGACCTCGGCCTCCCCTTCCCCCCTACCCACTTCTTTGGCCGCCTGTCTTTCCTGAGGCACCCTATGCCCTTCTCTTCTCTCACATTTTCTTCCTACTCGTAATTCTCCTCCTGACCCAGGGTATCCATCCCAACCCTGGCCCGCACCCCTGCTCAGTCTGCTCCCTCCCAGTTACAAAGCGATGTTAGTCGTTCCTGTGCTCCAGGTGCAATGCCTGGACCCACAAACGGTGCTCCGGGCTTTGCTTCATTCACCTCTACTCCGCAGACTGGAATCAGTTAGCAAAGGCTCCAGTTAAGAAAAAAATTGATTAAAAACAAAGAATATTGATTACATTTACCTCGCTGAGCAAAAAAAAAGTTCACTTATCGTCTCACAAATTACAAGCCGTCCTGTAAGCTTACAGATACAGAAAAAATGCTATGATGCTGCTGATATGAAGCTTGCAGTGGACAAGGTTGTTGTGAATGCTCAATGGCATGTTCATGGATACTGTAATATCACATCAATAATACAGTAATATCCCATCAATAATACCATACCGTCAACTGGGTGATTTGGCCCTGTTCATAATGATGGCCAAAGTGGGGTAATAAATGGTCATAAACAGTGGCCAAAGTCACTCAGGTGTTTATGACCTGGTTTACAACCCTGGCGTTTATGACCCCGGCGTTTACGACCCCGCGTTTACAACCCCAGCATGAATCAAAAACACAGGGGAAGTCACCCCAGTTGACGGTAATTAATGTTTATGGTAATATCATATCAATGAAGGAAAAACTAGTAAAAGTCACAGAAAATGTCATTTATTCTACCTCTACATTGTCTACAATGAAAGAGGAGGACTTCAGAGTACTGTTAGTAATGGATGAGTACGCTCTGCATGCTTCAAATGTTTTAAAATTAAGTTTTATTCCGAGTGTCCCGAGAAGCCCCGTTCGACGGGGCTACTCGGGACACTTTTTTTTTTGCTTCTGGCACCTTACGAATAGCATATGGAATTTTTTTGACAATGCCATTTGATAGCCCTTGCAAAGAGCTATAAAATGAGCCTAAACTTGTTTATGAAATGTTTCATCGTAAGAAGTTATTAACAGTTATTAACAAAAAAATGCTCAAAACTGTCCCGAGTAGCCCCGGTTGATGGTATGTCCCTAATGTGTCGGAATATGGTTGATGGTATGTCCCCTTCTTACCATTGGAATATGGTTTACCCTATTAATGATGGTAAGAAGTTTTTAACAAAAAATTCTCAAAGCCATGCCTTATTAGTCATTACCCTGTTTTAATTTGAAGGTACGTACCAAAACCAAAAGGAGACCCAACTTAATGCCTTACTGCATACCAAGGAGTGAGGAGTCCTCACTCCTTGGTACCATCAAACGGGGTAAAAAGGGATGGTTTTGAGCATTTTTTGTTAATAACTTCTTACCATGAAACATTTCAGAAACAAGTTTAGGCTCATTTTATACCGTCAACCGGGGCTACTCGGGACGGGCAGGGTAACTCGGGACAGTCCTCCGACACGGCATAAAACTGTTTTAGTAACAAAACTAATTGGAATATTGCGTAAACGTCAACATTTTTCTTATCCATGTAGTATAAAGGAAGTTCAAAACTACTACATTCACTAGCTTTGAAAAATTCCTGAAAAATATGGTGAAAAACAATATTTTGAAAAGTTACTTCTGCTAACGTCTGTAGTAAAAAAAATATTCACCGTATTAAAAAATTTTGCTTATTTCATTCCAAAAAAAATGGCGGTCATTTCCGCACAGCGGGGCTACTCGGGACTTCCCCCTCCCCGGGGCTATTTGGGACACCCCAAAAGCACATTTACAGTAGAACCTCAGTTAGCAAAGGCTCCAATTAAGAAAAAAATTGATTAAAAACAAAGAATATTGATCAAATTTACCTTGCTGAGCAAAAAAGTTCACTTATCAAAAAATTACCAGTGCATCATCAGTCATCACAAAATTGTGCATAGAATGTCATATTTAGAATTGTGCACCAGACATCGTAGAATGGAAAGTAATTGACCTAAGCTATTTTTTATTTCTCCAAAACATATGATGGTTGTCACTAAAACATTCCTTTCTGTTTCAGGTATGTTTTTCACTATCTATTTAGTGCATTTTCTCATTTATGGAAAAAATGCACTATCGCGCTTGCCATGTCTGTCTCACTGTCTGTCCGTTCATCTGTCCGTCCATCCGTGACCTCAAGTTTTCGTCAACGAGAAAATGAGCTCTCTGTCACTCACTGCAGTGAGTACTGAGTTATATTTTTTTTAATTCCCTTAACCCAATTAAAATGGTGTGAAATTACAAGCCGTCCTGTAAACTTACAGATACAGAAAAAATGCTATAAGGCTGCTGATATGAAGCTTGCAATGCAAGAGAACAGCATTGGGTTCATGAGAGGTGTGCGAAAGAAAGGCAAAGCAATACACAGAAAAGTGGATGTGTGAGCAGCACAAGGAGGAGGAGCGTGAAAAGAGGAAAATAAACCTCACACTACTACAGCTTAATATCAACGGAATAAGAAACAAACTTGAGGAACTGAAGGAAATAGTGCAAAAGAAGAAATCGCATGTCATAATGATCGAGGAGACCAAACTTCAAGAACAGCACAAAACACCAATACTGGAAGAGTACTCATCAGTCAGATGTGATAGACCACAAGGAAATGGCAGAGGAGGGTTGCTAACCTACATCCATAGCAATCTTCAATTCAGGGAGCTCACCAACTTCCAAACTTATATTAATGGAGCAGAGAGATCTGTAGTGGAAATAAGAGACGGAAGGAACTTCACATTGAGACTGGCGAATATATACATACCACCAAGAGATATCAATGCTGATCAGGATGAAATAAAAACAAACCAGTGCATCCAAGAGCTACTAACAGCTGATACCATCCTAGCAGGAGATGTGAATGTGCATGCTCCTCTCTGGCACTCCAGCATCACAGATGCCAGAGTAATATACATAGAAGAGCTGCTACTCACCTCAGATATGACCACGATGAATGAAGAAACACCTACTAGAATACCATTTGATCAGACACAAAGACGAACATCACCAGATATCACAGTACTCTCACAAGACCTGAAGAGATACTCAAAGTGGGAAACAATGACAACAACATCATCAGACCACCTCCAAATCATACTGGAAATACAAACCCACAATAAAGAAAAGAGTATAAGAATACAGAAGACCTATATTAATTTCAAGAAAGCAAAGTGGGATTGCTACAAAGAATATATTGGCAGTATGCTAACAGTAGATGATGGAAGACCATATAACATCAGAGAGGCAACAAAGAGAATATAACTAGCAATAAGGAAAGCAAGCAAGAAATTCATACCACAAGGAAATGTAAAATTAAAAATAAATCCCTTACTGGAGTGCATAAAGGAACAAATAAGAGATAGAGACAACACCAGAGAGATTGGAGAAGACCCAGAGAGAGTAAAAGAGTTAAACAACAACATCAATGAAAACATCAAGAAGCATAAGAGGGAAAAATGGAAAACATTTGTTGCAGAAGACTGGGACCAAAGGAAAAACACGGATAAATACTGGAAAGTGATGAAGGGAATTCAGGGTAAGACCGAGGGAAGAGTAACTAATATCATGATCAAATTTGGAATGAAGCTGAAAAAGGCCAAGAAATAAATTGCAGGTTTTGCTAAGCTATACACGGGATCCGCAAAGAAGGTAAGCAGCAGACTCAAAAGAACAACTAACTGGAAGCTAGAGAAGATAGTGAGAGAGGAGGTTGTTGTTAGGGGCCACATGCTGGTATATAAACTATTTAGTAATTATTATAAGTGTCTTGTATTAATCCTCTCTTTCTATTGTCCCAGTGTGTGATTACTTGAGCGACAGCCAGATAAATTCAGACTAGTGTAAAATCACATTCATTGACAGTCTGGCTAGTTGAGTGAAGCAGTGCAATACTGATCTGCTCCTATTTCGTGCTGATTAACCTGCTATAAACAAACCTGCTTCCTGGTCATTTACTGCCATGCTGACTCATCACTGACCTCATATGAATATCATGGCTCTTAAATAGGTGAGTAAAGGGAATAATTTCGCCACGCATCTCAGTCCTAAATTTTAATTATTGAATGTTATCAGTAAATGTTTGTAAATATCATCAATCATCCCTTTAAATTGTTCTAGAGTTTAGTAGGAGGTAGCTAATGTGAATTTATGATTTTCAAGTGTATGTATGTGTTTCAAGTGTTTTGTTGGATAGGTTTTATGTGTTCTTGTTCCTGCACTTTTGCAGAGCGGCCAACGTGGGGCATATTCTGGGCCAATTTGGGGCGCATTCCGGCAAGTTCTGAGCTAGTTTGATGCCAGTTCTGGACAAGTGACAGGCAAGCTTTGGGCTGACTGAGCTACATTGCAGTCGAGTCTTGGGCTGCTCTTGAGCTACTCAACCTATGTCACGAGAAACTCGTATGACCTATGTCACAAGAAACTCGTATGACCTATATCACGAGAAACTCGTATGACCTATGTCACGAGAAACTCTTATGACCTATGTCACGAGAAACTCGTATCAAGCATGCGACAATATATCAGAGCTGTCATTGAATCTGTCAAGATGGCTTCTAGCAAACAAGCTAGTGGCACATACAGACAAGACCAAGTTGAGGCTTTTTACTCCCAGACCAGTTTCCATTTTATGTGACACCACCTTCAATGGGACAATTTTACAATGGATAGATGAATTCAGGTATCTTAGTTTAATCCTAGATAACAAGATCTCCTTCAATAAACACATTAACCATGTCTGTCAGGGACTGAGCAAAGCCCACGGAGTTCTGCGTGCTTTATCAAATGTTTTACTTTTTCCTTCATTAAAAACGTTCATTAAAAACGTCCTTATCAAAACTATCAAGCACTTTAGTTAATCTGGGGTGGTGTACCTTTCAATACAAAAAAAAACAAGTCATCACACTACTTAATAAATCGTTGCGTTCTATGCTTAGGATTAGGTATGACAATAATATTCCATTGATATGCACCAACAAATTGTATAGGCAGTCAAAAATTTTAAAACTCGATGATATGGTTTAATTGTGTGTGTCAAATGTTTTAATGAATTGCCAGATGAGTTCAGACAAGATTGCTCTAAAAGGTTTTTAAAAATAAAATAAAGTGATTTTATTTTTAACCAGTTTCAATTTGATTTTGATTATTATGCAAGTTTTAGGCATTTTAGCTAGATGTTGCAGCTGTACTCTGTTTTACTAAGTGTAATGTTGATATTGCCTCTTTTATGCCGATTTTTCTACTATGAGATGCAGTTATCCCTTTTTTTAAGGCTTTTGTCATTGGTTTTGCTTATTTTAGAAATTTGTTACTTGTTTGTTCTAATCTTTGTCTTGTTATCATTGGAATTGAGTCTTGTACCTATTGTTTTGCCTGCAAAGCTTTTTTAGCTTATATGGGCATTCACCTGGAAGCCTTGCTATTTTATTTCACGTCTCTTTCATATTTGATTGTAACGTGTGCTGTGTGACTAAATAAATAAATAGAATAAAAATAATCCGTAATCACAAGTGCTGTTGATTTTGATGTGTAATTAAATTAAAATTTGGGCAGACACAAGTTTTTTTGCATTATTTTCATGTTCTCAAAAATAATTTAGGAAAACATTCAACTGAGCATAAATGATATATTCATGTCAAACACTAAATTGCCTATATTCAGGAGAGAAAAAATAAGACCAACAAGTTTAGCAACTTAGAAAGAAGATGTCATTAAAAGGTTTCAAAATTTGACATCAGTGGTTAGCTTTGCTTCACTATTATTCTCACCTCAACATCTCTAGCAGAGATGACAGCCTCCACATACCAGTCCAGCACCTCCATGATCAAGGACATCTTCAGCTCCTCGCTGTCCATCACTGCCTTCTGCAGCAAGCTATCCCCTGAAAAAGCAATAATTGTTTAATATGTTATTTACAAACTACATATATTTGAAGAAAAAATGAAAGGGAAATATTAGTTGAGCATATAGATATTTAAAAATACTTTCTTTCTGAGCTATTGTATTCACCCAACAATAAAAAGAATTCTAGACAATTTCAATGTTTTAATCAGAACACAAAAGCATTTCTGAGACATTCCACAATGTAACAACCAACACATAGATATATTCAACATACCCATTGCAACAGCCTGCATAGACTCAGCACTGGCAGTATGCAGGAGGACGTCACCACTGAGCACCTCAGCCTCGCTCACCACAAGGGGATCACGTGCCCCCAGTCGTCTCATCTCTTCAATGGGACGATAACATTCTTTGAGGTGGCTTAGACTTGTCTTGTAATCTTTCTTCTCCAAAGCTTTAACAGCAGCATTGAAGAGTGTCTTACCCATGTGAGTAAAGCACTCAGCTTGATGCTCCTCCACATCCAAAATATTGCACAACTTCTCAAGCCCACCCATGTGCATTGGGAATGGGAGATCAACGTACTTCTGAAAACTAGAGTTCAGGCACTGGTTTCGAGAAGATTTGACACCCTCAAGCCATGAAGCAGTCTTGCAAGTTGCTCCAATTTTCTCAGCATTATAGAAGCCACTGATAGCTTCTTTGTAGTAGAACGAGAGTTCATTAAAAGCCTTTTCATTTACTTCAATATTGCGGGTGATTGCCCAGGAAGCTAGACCAATATTCTTGTAAGCAGAAGATTTCTGATCAGCATTATTTGCAGTTTGCACTGCTTTATAGTAAAGAGAACAGGCTTTCTCCAACTTAGATCTTTTGAGGATAGGGGCCAAGCCATCCCGTTGAGCTTGAGTGTAGAAAGAGTTACCTTCCTGGCGATATGAATCGGATATGTTAACACTTGACCTACTCATTTCTAATCTAATAATAAGCCTTGCAGCCTTATATAATTAAATTAAGCTACTGTAGTCAAATTACAAATTATTGTCTGCAAAACAACAGATGCCTGCAAAACAAGGTGCTCAATTCATTACTTATTATTATGAAAGGAATAAAGTGGATTGTAGGTTGGTCATCATTACCATGGTGCAGAGAGCAAATATTCAAAGATTTTTGGTAACACATACCAAAGTATCAAAATCTGTCTCCAGGAGGTCTTCCACACATTTCTTAGTAAATACCAATTTACATGTATTTTGGTAAGAAATCCAGCATTGTCACTTATTTGATCCAAAAAATTTTAGCTGAGTAGCTAGAAAATTTTACCTTGAACACTAGTCTCTGCTAGGTTTTGTTTAACCCATTAATGCCGAGCGGTTCCATTTGGAACCAGCAGAAAAAAATGGATTCATAATAAAATTGTATGGTCAAATCAATATACAAGTGGATGCGTAGGTTTGATACACATCTTGTCCATGTTCTGGCAACGTTTGGTTTTGCTGCGCCGACTACTCTCTGCTCAGTTAACATTAAAAGATTGTAAGTACCGGGTGTCAGACAGAAGGGCTTGACATCATTGCAGAGAAAGGTAAGTAGTTTGTTCTAAGAATATATTATTTATAAGTTAGATGCAGAATTTTATCGATAAAG